AGAAAAGGATAATGGCCACGCTTTATCATGTCACTTATTTTGGCCACAAGACTACCCACATTTACAAACTTGCAAGCTCCAGGAAACACACACTTTCCGATGACAATAGAAAAGGGGGTTTATAGGCACCCATCTCCTTCTACTACTACAAATGTGTGCAAATGTGTTCATCCACGTGAATCAATGGAACCGAACTGATAGTACAAAGCTCGGAGACGGTGTGCAGCTTCCAAGCGTAAGTTTCCTGAGAGTGCTTTAAGCAAAACACCTGGTACTGGTAGGTGGCTCTAGACACATGTCCTGGGAAGGCCCCCAGCGGGATCCCTGCGGGTAACATCCAACCCAAGTATACACTTGTTTGGGTGACTTAAGAGTCCTTCTCTTTCTAGGTTCAGGTACTAGGGCGCAAGCAGTAGGACCTTGCAATGTGCTCTACCTCCTTTTCTAAGGGATGCCCCAGAAACCAAAAACATCAGTTTCATAGAAAACTGTAAGTCACATTGTGTATTCACAGGTTAGCGTTTACTACTTACTTTTTTTTCCATCCTTCCTTTCAAAAGTTCTCCATTGATTACCCTGACACCTGCTGGCCAGGGCACAGCGGATTCTCTTTTTCCTTTCAACAAATTTCTCCAGTCAAAGACATTTAGAGGTAATTTCTGTGACTGTTTAGCAATTTCAGTTTTAGTATCTGAAGTAGCTAACTGTTAGCATTTGTTCATTGGAAACTATGAAAAACTTTTAAGGTAATTCCTCCATTTCACATCGGCAGGATTTGACTCTGTGCAGAAATTCATACCTGCTGAGATTAACATCCCCCCAAAAATTATAAACACGACATGGGCTAGCAGAAAAGCAAAAATGAATTTTCACGGCATCTTCCTGGATCACAGACAAAAACTGGAAAACAACAACTTGCTTTTTTTTTTTTTTTTTTTTTTTACTTTTTTTTCCCACAATAAGGTCAGTTTCCGAACTGCTTAGCCAATAGAAAGAGTAAAACAATTAAGCATCATATAAGCCATACTACATATTTGGTTTTTTTTCAGCTCTTTTATTATGGATTTACTTCTAGCTCCAATTGAGTTCTGCAGACTGCCCCAGTTTTTGGCAAAGATATAATAAAACGACTACTATCTCATCAATCATACACAAAGCTATTGCACTTGCAAGTGTCTGCAATAAACAACAGAATTACTTCCCCTGGCTCTAAGAAACTCAACTGAGGGAGGTTTTTAAAAAATTGTGCACAAATGGTAACATATATAATCTCTTCCATTATTCACAGCTCTTCAAAGATAAACCATCTTGAGAAGAAACTGCCTAATTAAAAACTGTATCTTAGTTAACATCAAGAAAATTAAGAGTTTGGAGTTTTAATTTAGGCATCCAGGAAGATGCCGTGAAAATTCATTTTTGCTTTTCTGCTAGCCCATGTCGTGTTTATAATTTTTGGGGGGATGTTAATCTCAGCAGGTATGAATTTCTGCACAGTGTCAAATCCTGCCGATGTGAAATGGAGGAATTACCTTAAAAGTTTTTTCATAGTTTCCAATGAACAAATGCTAACAGTTAGCTACTTCAGATACTAAAACTGAAATGCAAATTTTGTAATGGTGTTGAGTAATCATGTTATTTTATGCGAGGCGTGTACTGCTCTTTTATAGTCCTATAACTTTGTGAGAAAATTTCTTAGATATCTAGAAAGAAAAGTAAAATTTATTAAGTATTCTATTAAAATATGCTAGACCCTGAAGGCATGCTTTACGTGAACATAAGTCTTAACGTATTTGGTAAAAATACCAGAGATCTAATTTAAGGAACAGTTCAGAGGCGCAATGCATTGCCTCGCTCTGAAGATCTTTGCAACTTTATCTCCATAGTGCAGAATAAATCACTGGTTTTTCTTTGTTAGCTTTTTATTATAATTTGTTTTCCGAGGCCATAAAAATGTAAAATAAAATGCACTTTCATCCTAAGGAAATAATTCATATTTCAGAAATAATCAGAAAACCCTTTTTCAGATCCAGAGGAAAACCCGGGGCAGCCTATGGCATAATCAAGATTGCAGATCAGAGTCAAACTCTCCCAGCTGGGCACTGCATTTTCACTTAGCTATTCCATTCTGTTTAACTTCCAAAATTAATTTAAACGTTTCACCTTGAATCTAAAGGTGGCATGCATTTCTAAAGTAGAAAGTTAATGGTCATATAAATTTGGCAATGAAGACAAGAAAATATAACAACATGGGAACCCGTAAATTCAGCACCCTTATTTCCATATGGATCACAGACCTAGTGCTTGCTGAATGAGAGTGTTTAAGCATTTTTTTATTATTACGTAGAACTCACTAGAAAGTCGCCATTGATTAAAAGCTGCAAATATGCCAAGGATTCTGAGCGCTTGGGCCAGTCTAGACATTTTTAGACAGTGCCATTTTCTTAAAGACTTCAAGCTCAAACTGCAGGCGAAGGGACATATTGCATAAGATATCACGTGCTTGCTGCAACTCTATGCATGTTATTGAATTTTTTAGAGCAACCCATAATGATGAATAATTTAAAAGTTAATAAAATATTCAATCTGACTGATCCATTGGTTTAATTTTAAAATAAAGATGACTAATGAAAGGAGTTACACATCCTTATCAAATTCCAGGCACGAATGCATGTAAAATGCAACCCACACAGAGGGAAAACACCAGCGGATACACCGGAGGCGGCGGCGAGGGGCAGAGGGTGAGGGGGCGGGGGAAGAGCGGGCTTGCTCTGTTTTAGCACCCGCTTCAGTAAGTTTGCACTGACCGAGTTTAATTGTTTGCAGGGGTCGGCCAGGCTGCACTCTCCACAGAGCCAAGAGAAAAACAATTAGGGAGGTGCAAGTTTGGCCGGAAGAGGTCTTTCGAAAGGGTCCATTCCCATCGGTCGCTCTGCCCCCAGGGTGGCTGGATGAGGCGAACCCTTAAAGAAGCACCTGCAGCGGAAGACCTGAACGGGAATCCGGCTGCCCCTCCCGGGGTGGGGGGCGTGACTGATGCCCTCCGCGGGGCTCAGGCCCGGGATTTCTGCCCACGGAGCTCGCCCAGGGCTCCAGCAGCCACGACCTGCACCGGCGGGGCCGCCGCGCCCGCTCCGCCCGCGACGCGCAGCTGCTCGCGGTGGCGAGGCGCGGGAAGGGGCGCGCGTGCTTCCGTAGGGTGTGCACGGGGGTGGCCGGAGGGCGCGGAGGGAAGTGACTGCGGCTGTCCCCCTATCCTTCAGGAGGGAGCGAAGTGCAGAAAGAATCCAGGCAAGAGATGCAGAGGAGAATAGCAGGGGAGAAACAGTTTTTCCTCATCGCCAGGAACTCGGCCCCCGCGCGACACAGACTCACTGCCGCGCTGTGACCTCGGCGTGGGGCCGTCCGCCCGCTCTCCAGAGAGGCACCTGGGCTACCCGCGGGCGGGGCGGGTCCCAGTCGTCGCAGGGTGGGAGGCTGATGCTGGGCGCGGCCAGGACTCGGGCGCTTGAGGGCTGCAGCCCGCGTCCCGGCTCGCAGTGGCCTGACAGTCTGGTTGCGATCATTAGAGGTACAGTGGAGAACAGGTGCCACGAGGCCGGCGGCGCAGCCACGCCGTGCCTGAGCCACACGCGATCGAGTCCGCGGCGTCCACTCCCTTCGCTCCGGGCGGTGGATTCGGTCCCCGCGGTCCTCCCCGGCGCAGCCTTCCCCCTGCCCCCCGAACTCGGGTCGCCCCTTCCAGGACAGATCTAGAGGAAGCCTGGGGGCGGGGAGGACGCACAAACCAGATGTGCAGAGGACCTGAAAGTCACCTGAACAACTCGGCAGCGCACACTGAGTCCTGTGTTTTTTAAAGCCCGTTTTGCTTCTGTGTCTCCCTTTTTTTACTCAACTTAGGAAAAGCTCGGGCCACGCCACTCCTGCAACTTTTCCACTCCCAGGCCCGGCGCCAGGACTGGGTGGCGCCGCGCGGTTCCGCGGACCCCGAGTCGCCCTGGTCCCCAGGGCGCAGCGCACAGCCCCGAGCCGGGTCGGTCGAGCGGGTGGCTATGATTCGGAACCCGCGCTGAGTCTGGCGGCAGCGGCGGCGGCGGCGACCTCGGTGCCCGAACCTCTCTGGCCACGGGTCCCGAGGCGGCCCGAGTCGGCTCTCCAGCCCCCGGCGCCCCTGACCTGCGGGTCTGCCTGGCTCCCGTACCTGCGTCCCGGATCGCCGGAGCTCCGGCAGCGCCCGCTGGCCCCGAATTTCCCCCCGACCTCCACCGCCCGACTTCGCCGCACTTCGGGGCTCCCTGGGCGCACGCGAGTCCCCGGGGATTGCCCCCACGCCCGCGCCCAGACCTCACCTCTGCAGAGCCGGGGGACTCCGAGGCTGAGCCCGAGCAGAAGCCAGGCGGCCGCCGAGCGCGGCATGCTGCGGACGCCGAGGGCCGGGCCGAGGACGCGGGAGGGGACCCCGCCCGGGCGGGCTCCGGGCTGGTGAGGGCCGGGTGTGCGGCGTCGGCGGAGGACGGCGGGGAAGACGGGAGCCAGAGCCGAGGAGGAGAAGGAGGATGCCGCGGAGCAGGACGAGGAGAATCGGGTTCCGCCCTGCGCTGTCTGCGCCGGGCAAAGGCCGCCGAGCCGGGACCCAGCCGGGCGCGCTGTGTACAAACAGAGCGGCGTGCGCCCCGCGCCGGCTCTTATCCGCGCGCCGCCCCCTGCGCCGTTCCCCTCCCCCTCCCTCCCTCCTGCTCCCCCTCCTCTGCGCGTCTCCTCCACGCCGCTCGCCTCCTGGTGCTCTCCGGTCTTATTCCCTCCCCGCTCTCCGCCTCCCCTCCTCTCTCCTCTCTCTCCCTCCCTCCTTCCCCACCCGGTGCTGGAGCCGCGGGGAGGCGCCCCAGCCGCACCCTGGCACCTGCTGCCCCCCAAGTCGCCCGGGCGGGCGCGCACCCGGGGTCTCGCAGGGGGAGCCCAGCAGTGAGTGAGATTCTGGGGGGCCCCCGCCGGACACACACTGGAGTCCCCTCAACTTCTTCCCGCAGCAAGGCGGGGAAGAGAAGTTGGGGATTCCTGAAGAGTGGCTCTCGGGCCGCAGAGCTGCGGGAGAGGTGGGAGCTGCGGGAGCTGATTCTCCCGCGTTCCCTGGGAGAGGCCCGGGCGCGGTGCCCTCATCCTGCGGCGGGGACGGGCTGGGGGCGCCAGGGTCCTTAAGGATAGAGCGGGCTGGAGGCTCGCGGGCCGTCCAGGCCGAAGGGTGGAGCCGGGAGGAGACAAGGACGTGCCTGCCGTTAAGCAAGCGGGACAGCTGTTTCAGATGAGAAATCAGCGGCGAGCTTGCAGGGAAAAAAATTAAAAACCAAGGACAAATTCCCAAAGCATCAGTCAGGCAGATCAAATTTCGCTGCTATCCCAAAACTAAAGTAAATGGGTTGGTTTTTGCCATTGAAACTGATTCAACCAAAACCCAGTCCCTGGCTCGCAGTCCTGTTTCTCCTGTTCTCCCTTAGAATGACGGCTGACTGTACGCGGATCCATTCTGGTCCTGCGGATCCCGAACGAAATCACGCCCTCTCTCTTTCTGTAGAGAAACAGGGCGCTGGGAAATGGAAGCTATCTGGAGAGCAAGAAGTAGGAAAGAAGAGGTACTAAGGGAGGCGATCAGCCATTTGACTCCCGAGGGCAACTTCCTTTCCCCGAGCGCTTGCAGCTCCCGCCCGTACTGAGGAAGGCGAGGACTGCGAGGGCGCCCAGCGAAGCTGCGCTGCAGGGAGCGGCTGAGGTTTTGAGGATCGCCGCACGGGCAAGGGAGGGAGAGATGAGAACCCTCGCGCGGCAAGGCCTGCGCAGACCTTTATATGTCTGGGGAGGTGAAAGCACATTTTAAAAGCCTCATTTTGCAAGGGCAAGAAGGAGTTGGTTTATTTCCTGTCTTTTATGCTCACAGCCAAAGAAACTAGAATAAAACAACATGAATTACCCGGAGTCACAGCAACGTAGTTCCAAGCAGGTCCAACTTTCTGGCCTATTGGTACTGAGTTCTCAATGTGTGCTTGCTGCCAAGCGGCTTTGTGGTCACTTACCTTGTGGAAGGCATTGGTTTTAAGGCATTGTCCAAAAGGAAAATTTTTACTCTAGCTTTTTTTTTTTTTTTTTTTTTTTTTTTTTTTTTTTTTACCGGTAATCAAACTCAGAACCTTGCGCTTGTCCAGCAGACGCTGCACCTGCGCTGCTGAGCTATCTCTTTGGCAAAAATCCTTCCTCTTGGCTATTCAAAATCAGTCTGCCGAGAGACAAGCAAAAGGAGCGAGTTAAATGTACTGATTTCTTTCCTATCTCATTCTTTATTTCCCCTATTTTTGTAATATATAGTATTACTAAACATAGTATGAGGTTAAAATTTTTTGGCATTATTTATGTTACTAAACTTCCTTCTTTTAGTTTAGAGTTTTTAAAACTCCATTGAGCAAAGCTAAAGTTAAATGTTCACATTACACCCATACAGTGGTACCCATCTGTGAAAGGTCATTCTTTACTGCCTCCTACAACTTATGGAAGATGTTGGAAGCTTAATATCTTTACTTAACTTTTTTAATAAAAATTGATATATACTGTTAAATGCATTACTGTGCATGCATACTCATTCCTGCTTTGAAAATACTTATTGATAATTACCATCTACCAGTAAGCCTTTCATTGTAAAGATTCCAGGCAGTTTACTTAATTTACATTTATAGAACTCACTAAACTCTAATGGAATTTGTTTGTAGCCCTTTCAGAAGTGAAACATAAGGCATGGTAAAAGACCACCCAGATTGAATAATAGAAGCCAGAGAAGAAAAAGGGATCAAGTCTGTTACAAATCTCACCTAGCATGTCTGGGGCCCTTACCTAATCTTCTGTTACCCAACTTGGAGTTTTATGGCTTCTCCACATATGGGCTGAAAGTGCCAAAAATGGATCTGCCCATACCTGGAGAGCAGCGCTTCCCGGGCTGTTGTCTGCTGGCCTTCTTTTCCCATGATGTTAGTATGCTGGGGGGAGTGCTTCATGGCCAAATCAGTGTGCAAAGCCCACATACCCCTAAAGTGGCCTCTAGGAGAGTCTTGATGACTCAGCATGCTCAACACTTGATGTGGTCTGAGATTAAGAAAATTTTCCAGAAGTGTACAATCCAGGACTTCGCCAACTGTCTTCTTCTGCCCCGTACCCCTCCATCTCCTTCTTTGATGATGACAAGCCTTTTCTAAGAACACCTTTTAGCATATTGCAGACTGTGTCACAAGGCCTATCACTTGAAAACACTGTCTTAAAACAGAATAAAGTGGCAGAAAAACCAGAAAGGAATCCTGGAAAGTTTCCTTGCAGTCGGGGGCATACTGTGTGTTTCTCTTCTCCCACAATTCATATGCTGAGGCATAAATTCCAGGTATGATGATCCCTGGAGGTAGAGTTTGGAGAAGCAGTCCAGGAGGATGGGGCCCCTGTGATTGGGCTTAGCTCCCTTAGAAGGAGAGACACCAGAGGGATGATCACTTTCTTCTCTAGGTCATGCAAGGACACAAGAAGAAGATAACACTGTGGACTGGGAAAGCTCCCCGAATACTAAATCTGCCTGCACAGTGATCTCGGTTCCCCAGATTCTTGAATCAATGCATTCTTCAGTAAGTGGTGATAGCACCCCAAACTAAGGTAGTTTTGTTTTATTTTGCTTTTCTGAAAATTATCTCATTAGTTAGGAATTTGGTTTCTAGAGCCCTCAGGGCCTATCTGAAGTGAAGGCCTTCTGTACTCCTGGAATGCCTTTAACTTCATGCCAGCTACCTCCCAGACCTCCGAGCTCTCATCTGGAAAGTGGTCTTGGGAATAGTGCGGTACTCCTAGTGGTGCACAAAGGGGTGGAGGGGAGCAGTGAGGAGAGACGCTACCAATAAAAGGGCCATAATCATGTACACAAATTTTCTTCATATCTGTCCTTGTTCTCTATTTCCCACTCCCTTTCATTTACTTAGAACTTTGCAACTCACCTCTCAATTTGACAACTAGCAAATAAAACTGAATGGACTGTTTCTTATTATCCCTGTAACTATTGAGTATTTTCAATAGGCTATTTGCAGGTAAAATCTTAGATTATTTGAACAAGCTACACTCAGTACTGCCATTAATTCAGCTGGGAACTGGATTTCTGACCTATGGATCTGAGACCTAATAAATTGTTGTTGTCTTACACTGCTATATGTGTAGTAATTTGTTTTCCAGCAAAAGAAAACTTTTTTTTTTGGTGCTATAAACAATTTATTTAACTAAATGGACTTACTTTTATTTCTGAAGTGACTTCCATTTATTTTGATACATCTTTTCCCCGTGGTGATTTACAAGATCTTCAAGCCAACATAAATATTTTATAAATATTTGGGTATAATACCTGGACAACAGCTCAGCAATATCTTTCAGCAAGAAAGCCCTGAAAAGTAAAGACTAGACACAATTACTAGGTACAGTGAAACTCTGCTGCAAATATTTCTGAGGTTAGAAGGCACCACACACCTGTGCAACTAAGGAAACCACCTTTACAACACAGGATGATTTTATTTTTATGTAGGACCTAGAACACTTAAGCTGCCAATTAGGTACTGAATGGCAGAGCAACATCCCGAGCTTATGCCATGAATTCATAGGGAATGGGTTCCAACAGCTCAGGTTCCTTTCCATCAGTCTTCACAAAGTGTGCTTCTCTGGGAGGGGCAGGCTGACGCTTCAGTTGAACCCAGGTACCTTTCTCTTTGGCTTCCTTCTTTTTCTGATCATTTTCCTTGACACGTTTCAGGAAGCTCTCATGACATTTTGAGTGTTTAATATGCCTGATACACGCATTAATCCTCTTGGCAAGAATCTTGCCCTTAACTTGCTTGTTTACAACAATGCCAACAGCATGCTGGGTAACGTTGTAGACTCTTCCCATTTTGCCATGGTGACATTGGTGAGGCATGCCTTTTTGCACAGTCCCCATTCCCTTGATGTCTACAATCTCACTCTTTTTGTAGATTCCCATGTATGTGGCCAAAGGAACAACCCCATGTTTTCTAAAAGGTCTTAAGAACATATACTGGGTTCCCCTCCTCTTGTCCTTTGTGTTAGTCATTTTGGCAAATTACTGAAATATGGCGGTTCCAGCCCAAAGATGAAAACCTCTATATTACTCACTGTTATTCTCTTTTAGTGAGAAGACATAAGGAATGGATGGTAAGGCTAATTGCCCATGGCTTGCATTTAGTTTTGGAGAAAATAACTGAATTTGAATCTGAACTCAGAACCCACAACAAATGGTGCTGATTATGAAGAGTTCTCTGCACACTAACCATGCAGCATCCAAGCCTGGCCTGATTCCAGGAGCTATTTCCATAACCATTGTGCTCTGATGCCTGTTCAGATGGTGGTCTAACTTATCGTCTTCATTTACATGTTCAATTTAAGTAACTATAATTGTAATCGACACTTTATAGCACAATCTGCACTGCCTCCGAGCTTCTTGGTTGGTGATTATAGAATATAGGTTGTTTGAGTACTGTAGAGTTCTTAAAGCGTTTTTAAGTTCTCTAAAACATTTTCATAACTCGTAACATTTCTTTCGCTGCTTCTACAAACACCAAGCTAATGTTTCTTCTGACTTTCTGGTCATACTAGG